ACACACACACACACACACACACACACACACACACACACACACACACAGAGAGAGAGAGAGAGAGAGAGAGAGAGAGAGAGAGATTAAATAATTGGTAACTTCTAACAAATCCAACGGTGCAACGTGACCAATGAGAATAATGGAAGCACCTACATCTGTAGCCTTGCTTCGAGCGGTGGTGAAGGAGGCTCTTGTTTTCTTAAAATCTTTTTTTTTTCCTCTTTGCTTTGAAAAGTCTGTACTCCAAAGTCCCCTGTGCTGCCTGCTTTGTCCCGAAAAGAAAAAAAGGGGGGCGGGTGAGTGCGAAGGGAGGGCAGCCTTGGGGTGAAAGAAGACTCCTCACCCTGGGATGGGGTTATCTTAACCTCTTCTACGCTATTTATTTAACTTGTAAGAGCAGTCAGAAGGAAACCACCACTCCGGAGTCTCTGGGACAGTTTAAAGCCCTAGTGACCCATTGAACACAAGAGATTGTTTTAATCAGTTCCTATCCTGGCACCATCTCGGGGGAACATAAACAGACGTGCGTACGCTTGGGTTTGCTCTTTCCACCGAGAGATCCAATTACCTGCTGATGGTCGTCCTCCTGCCCTCCAACAGTTAAGAGAGATTTTTAACCCCTCACTTCTAGGCTATATTTCTCCATCAAAGAGTAGGGATTTGCATTCGGCCGAGGGAGGGGAAGAGGGCTACTGAGCTAGAACAGAGGGCCAGGCTTAGGCTCTCTCGCGCGCGAAGGTGCTCCCAGCAAAGGCTGGTCCTCTCGCATCCCTCGCCAGCCTCGCCGGTGGGATCGTCGCCAGAGCTGCGAGGCACAGGAAAATACCAAGCTGCTGAGCGCCAGACGGGGAACAGCCAGCCTAGAGCCGTAGAGTTGGTTCTTCCCATACTAGAAGTCTGCAAGTAACTAGGGCCAGGGAGGTGTCAGCCACACGCACCTCCCCATTCGCTCTCGACTTCCACCGGGAAATAGAGAGGGCTCCCTGGAACGGGCTAGGCAGTCCGCGGGGGACAGAGGCGAGGCTGCACGCAGTAAAACCGAGCCGCTAGCGAGGCGCGGCGAGGCGAGACCGGTGCCTGTGGGGTACGGACCGGCCGACATCCGCGGAAGTGGGAACCAGTCAGTGGTGGCCGCTTGGCGCCTGCACGTCTGCGGGACCGAGGATGAGAGCACGGAACCCCCCACCCCCTGCCCCGAAAGGCTCAGGACAGACAGCCACGCGCCCGGCCCGAGCACAGCTTGCACGGGAGTGTGCGGCGAGTGCCCCCGGGAGCACCGCGGGCACCGAAGCGCTCTAACCTCGAGGTGCCCGATCCCCGACCTCTTGCGGTTGTTGAGCCACGAGGGGTTCTGTCTCCGTCACATCTGCCCACAGCCGCCAACAAGCAGGCTACCGATTCCCACGTCCACAGCAGTTGGCACTCAACCACGCCGGGGACCCGCCGCCCCTACAGAAGCCCCAGGGCCAGCTGGGCGCCCAGCCCCTCCGAGGGCGCTGTCCCCAGCTGCAGCTTGCAACTGTGCGCCGTCCTGGCCAGGAGAGTCCCGCGGGCTCCGTGCGGCAAGCGCCAGGACGGCGTCTGCAGGGCCCCGCGCAAGTGCAAACGGGACGGCGAGCGAGCACCCTTGACAACTCCTCTCCCTTCCCTTCCTTCCACCCCGTTGACCCAGTGCCTCCCGAAGTCCCGGCATCTCCCTCAGCCGCTGGACCAGGCTCGGTTAATCAAGGAGGACTACTCCAGGGACACCCCCACCCCACCCCACCCCCAGGACTTCGGTGCACCAAGGGGCCGTATTGCAATTGAAGTCTTGGGGTGGTACGGACCCTAGGGACTCCTTGGCTAACCCTGGTACCAACACGCGCGCGCGCGCGCGCGCGCGCACACACACACACACACACACACACACACACACACACACACGACCGAGTGCTGCCGCTCTCACCTGTCAGCGTCGTGGGTCTTGGGGTCCCTCGCTGCGGACGCGTGGCACTGCGAGCAACCGCGGCTCGAGCCACCCGGGCTCAGCGCGGATGGAGCGAGACGGAGCGTGCGACCACGGCGGTGGCGGTGCTCTAGGTCTTCAGGTTGGCGAAGGGCGAGAGCGGAGGGCATCTCCCGGTCCCCGGTTTAAATGCCGCCGGCCGAGCGCCCGGGGGCCGCCCCTCTCCATTGGTCAGGCGCCGTCGCCGCCGCGGGACCCGCTATCCGCCCCCTTTCCCGGTAGTGCCCCCGCCCACTGCACCCCTCCTGCTTCCCCGCGGGGCCCCCCCCCCCGCCCGCCTCGCCTCTTTGTCTCCCCCCCCCCCCACCCCCAACACACACACACACCCCGCCCGGCTGGGTGGGAGAGGTCACCCCAGGGAACCGCGCCTGGAATGCACAGCAAATCACATTTTCCGCTCCCGTTGGAGAGGGGCGCGCGGGAGGAAATCCCCCGACCCAGGCTCCCGGCCCCTCATTCCTCTCCAGTCTGAGGTCTGGGCTTCTGTCCCGGCCGACGGAGCTTCGCCTGCGTGGGGCTCCGTCTTCGGGAGCACGGGCCGAGGCGGCCGGAGCCAACAGCTAGCGGATCGCCACAAACTCCGTGGTCCCTTGCCGCTGGGGAGAGCAGCCCTGCTGGACGCTCTGGTCAAGCGGTGGAGCCTTAGCAGCGCTGGCCAAGGCCCCCAACCTAGAGGGCCCTGACCCTTGCGGTGGCGTTAACACAGGCTTGCTCGCCAGCGGCTGGTAGGAGCCTGTGGCCAACAAGAGACCCTCCTCTCCTTGCCCTCCACCGGCTCCTTCAGCTCACATGCCCATGTGAGCGTGTGGCAGGGAGACTAAAACTAAAAGGAACCTCGGCAGTGGGTCAACGTTAAAGAACAATCGCTAGGCAACAAGAGTTTTCTGGAGCACATCGGGGATGAATAAATCAGGGGAAAAATAATGTTAGGCAGGAAAACGGCTTTCCAAAAACTCCAGACAAAGCCCTGCTTTAGGGAGAACCTGCGGTCGTTACCAACAATGTGATGGGTAGAATTAAAACACAGCACCGGTATATACATATATATGTTTTTTCCCACTAATGAGAAATCACGTTCATTTCTTCTCTGAGCTTGAAAATCGGCTATTCAAAGAGTCATCGGGTTTGCGTATTCAAGTTGCAGTCCGTGCAAAAATCAGCCTGTCTGCAAGATCTGAAAACATCAGTCAGGTCAAGTGAAGACTTTGCAAAAGATACACCAAGAAGGAAATTTGAAGATGCCTGTGTTTGTTACTTACAGCAAAAAGAACCAACTAGGAAACTTTTGTGATATAAGCACTTGACTAGGAGGTAAATATAACCAAGCCATGAGCCAGCATGCACATATAGGCATATATATGTGTGTCTGTATATGCATACATCCTTTTTCCCAAGTGTTAGGGGAGGGAGCAAGAAACGTACTGAACACCTAACAGATATTGTTAGGAAGTTCAGAGCATATATATATATATGAGGAAAGAAGGAAGCCTCTGTTAATATTTTAAGAATTAGGGTGTACTGAATGGTGTCTGTGCAAATGGCAAGTTCTGTACATGAACTTCTTATTGTACCTCTCTCTCTTTCTCTCTCTCTCTCTCTCTCTCTCTCTTTCTGATTGTTCCATGTTTCATAATTGTCTACAGAATAGGAACATTTGGTGGGTTTCAAGATCTACCCTGGTCAATGGGGCTTTCGGGGAGTTATGAGTCAGAAGCCCATAATGTTCTTGTGCAATGAACGCAGAGTCTGCTGGAGCCCTCCAAGAGGGTGCTTGGAGCCAGTGTTCCCAGAGAAAAGGGAGTTTATTTTTATAAACTCATTAACTCCTTCCCATTCTTTAATTACACCCCTCAGACTCATATGAACTATTCCAAATAAAAGTGCAAAGAGGTGAAATAATCCTCCTTGAAGTGATGGTTTTCGGAGCACTGATGCTAGGTCTTTCTCCACACCCCATTTCATCTCCCAGTCATGATATCATTTTTCTTCATCATCATCTATCATTCCCTGCCACCCAAGTATTTTCTAGAATGTAAACTTCATGAGAGCAGGGCCTTTTCTATTTTGGTTGCTTTGATTACATGACACGAAATATGATGTCTAACACATAACTGGGATTTGATAAATTCTTGGGGGCTGAGAAAGTTAGGCATATTTCCACTAAGTAGGACTGTCAGCTGGGCCAAATGCTGAGAAGAATATCAGCGCTGTGAACTCGGCAGCAGAGGCCTTCGCCTCTTCGGTTTAGGGTCTAGGAAGTCTGTAAATGTTTATGTAGACAAGCACACTTTTCAACTTTGTATCTGCACTTCCACAGTGTACAGCCAGTCATGTCAACCATTGCACAATCTGGAAGAAAGGAACCGAGTCCAGATTCTCTAGAACCCTTTAAGCCTGATTGCACAATTAAAACTTGCTTTTGATAAGGAGAAGATTTAGACAAGGTCTCAGAATGTAGCCTGGGCTAGCCTTGAACTTGCAGCAATCCTATTTACCTCCCAAGTGCTGGGATTACAGGTCTGAGCCACCATGCCCAGGTCCAAGTGAAACTCTCAAATCTGAGGTGACCAAGCAAGGATAACTAAAGGATAGAGCCTACTTAATGAAGCCACTTTCAAACTACTCTGAGGTAATGGGAGAGGAGTACATCCTGATTGGCTACTGGTTTGTAAAGGTATCTTCTCTTGTTTTACTCACTCCTTTGTAAAATGTCTACCCCTAAGACGCTGACAGGAGCTGTTCTTTACGTTTAGGAAGAAGCTAAAAGACATCTGTAGGTTTAGAGCTCTCTCTCTCCTCTCTCTCTCTCTCTCTGGTTCTCTTTCCCACCAGTGTGTGTGTGTGTGTGTGTGTGTGTGTGTGTGTGTGTGTGTTGCTTAGCTTTTGTCAGAAGCTTAGCAGGTGTCAGGTGCTGGGTTTTAGATTCATGATCTAACTTAATATTCATAACCTTACATTATTTTTTTTCTTTCTAAGAAGATCAGAAAACACAGCCACAGAGGTTTATTACTGAGGACACACAGATATATGAGGCAGAAGAGCTCACACCTGCTTCTGTTCCCTCACTTAGTTTCTGCATGGCATACTGTGGATTGAGTTATAACATTAGAACTGGCATGTAAACATCATGGCTTTTACAGAAAACCATTGCTACTGAACATGACCAAAGAACACCATATTTGTGTGTGGAAATGTCCCAGACATGGCACTTCTTTCCGTAACCCTTGCACTGGAGAGGCTGTCAAGAATTTGAAGCTTTAGTGTGCTAGTGAATTTCAAGCCAAGAGGGGCTACAGGGTGGAACCCTGTCTCAAAACAGAAGTCACATGAGAACTATTACACAGTTAATATATACAACAGAAAGTTTTTTTTAAAGGAACTCCTAAATGCAAGGAAATGTAAGTAATTTAATAGTCAATGTCTTCAGAAAACTGAGTCATGTAAAATATGATCATATATATGAGTAATACAAGTTTGAGAACATAGGGTTTTACTCATGAACACATAGTCATCGAAAACTCAGATGTGCACTGTCTTCCTGGGGTTTTCTATAAAACTCAAGCCTTCCCTACCTTCTTTATGGCCGCTGTGACCTCAGAAGTCTATTTTTAAAAACATACTTAGTCTTTATTATTTGAAAGTTTCATACATACACGTGTTGAATTTGGGTCATTTCTACCTCTTACTACTATTCTTCGTCTCCCAATCCTCCACCCTCTGGAAAAATTATTCTTCAGAAGAAAAAGAATCTCCCTCCTACCTTCTTGTCTTGTGTGTAGGTAACCCACTGAGTTTAGATAAGGTTGCCCGGCTGAGCATGGGTAGGCTGGAGTATGGGTGGTATATTACGTGTTTCATCACTGAAGTATGTGATACCACATGACTCGAAGAAGGGGAGGTCTCATGAGCCGTTCGCCCTTCTATGATAATACATTGACAGGCTCAACCCTGTGCAGGTCTTACACACTTAGCCATAGCAGCAGTGAATTCATGAATCCATTGGCTGTGTTATATTTGACACAATCTCTCTAGATCTTATAGTTTTGTTTTTGTTTTTGTTTTTTTTTTTTTCATTCAACTCTTCTACAATGCTCCCTGAGCCTCTGTGGCAAGAAGTAATATAGATGTTCTATTTAAAACCAGTCACCTCACAATTATTTATTTTTGGCCCTTGCCCAGTTATGAGTCTCTGTATTAACCATGGTGTACTGGAAAAAAGCTTGTCTGATGAGGGTTGAGAGCTGAGCTATACATGTGTATACAGATAAATATCGAGAAGGCACTTTAATACAATATCGACTTAGCAAAGTAATAGGAATACTTTTCCCCTGGAGCCCACGACCTCTCCAGTCACGGGGTCTAGGACAAGGTTATAGTACTAGGCATGAGTTCTTTCCTGTGGAGCAGACCCATGATCTAATCAGAGAGTTGTTGATTACCCCAATAACTATCATGCCATTGTTGTACCAGTGGACACATCTGGCCAGGCTGGTGATTACTACAACTTGAAGAGGTGACATCTAGGTAAGATTGTTCATAACCTTTTCTCCCAGCAGCCTGCATAGCACCTTCTGGCACTATATAAGTTAGCCAGCAGGAAGGACGTTACCAGGTCAGGGCACACTTGAGTTCTTCGTGTTCTTTGACAAAAATATATGATATCTTAATTAAAGGCTTTTGCTATTGAGACCTGGTGGGCAGCCAAGAGCAAGAGCAGTGGCCTGTATTGTTTTGAGACCTCTGGAACCAAACTAACCAACAACTCATTCAGAAACAGTCCATATTTGGCACTTGAATTTTTAATAACCTAACAATTCTGGGAATAAATTATCATCGTATCTAGAGCACTTCCAGTCAACCCTGTTTTTAAAATAACATTCTATTTATTCTTTGAATTCTTCCCTTTTTTCTCCTCCTCTTCCTCCTCCTCTTTCTCCTTCTTCTCCTTTCTTCCTATCTGAAGCAGGGTCTCAGTGTGTAGCCCCCTGCTGCTCTTGAACTCTGTAACCCAGGCTAGCCTCAAACTCATAGGAATCTGCCTACCTTGGCCTCCCTTGTGCTGAGGTTAATGGTGT